GACGAATACAATATAGAAGCCTGATGATGGCAGATGAGATTCTGCCGAAACGTTGCTACAACTTTAAAAGCACAACTCTAATGACGTCGGAAAATACCGGAACAAAGCTGAATAACATACATATAAGTACCAGCGAAAACTTAAGAAAACACATGTGTGTATGTATGTATGTACACAATATGTACACTTTATATATATATGTTCACAACTGTAATTTAAAACGATGAAAAGTAAGCACCGATCCGTTGTGAGTCAAGTTTCTGTTGCAGCACCGCTATTAATTTAACGATCAACGAACTCCTTTCTCGTCTTACCTCTGCCGCACTGTGGATCCTGTCGCACGTGGGGCTACTGCTTTGCTAGGGGAGCGGCTGGAAGCACCCACACTGGTGGCGCTAGGATTGGGACCCGGCTGAAAGTTAACGAAAGACAATTAGACGCAGACCTTTATGTATACACGCCATACGCATCTTTTTGCTGATCCTTTCGCTTACCATAGCAAAGGTGACACGCAGACAGCAAACCCCTTCAATTCAGGACACGTCTCCGACTGAAAGGAGGACCTGCTTTCTTGCCACTCAACAGGTCCCCGCTGGAATCAGGAGACTACTTCAGTGCCCGACTAGAATTCCTCTCATAACCAAGGAATAACCCGACGAGAGCACCCCTTCTTTCTTTCAACAAAAACAGTTGGGCTGAATTTTCATTTTTATTCCCGATGGTTCCTTTCTAACTATATTGTCTGGATGTGAAAAAGAGCAGGCAGTGCTTTAGACTCCCTATTTCAGAGGCAGAAAACTAAAGCTGAGGTGTCTAATTGAGTGATCCGGATATGTTTGTCGCAGGCATGCCCTCTACTGCGGAAGCGGACGTCATCATGGCCGCTCCGGACCGTGAAACAAACGGCGAGGAGCAGCGAAAGGGACCCTCCGTTTTTTTTCTGCACCCGGATCTCGGCATCGGTGGGGCAGAGAGGCTGATAATAGACGCAGCTCTTGCTCTCCGCGCACGAGGCTGTCGCGTGCAAATTTGGACCCCGCGCTATGATTCCACGCGGTGCTTCTCCGAGACCAGCCAGCTAGACATACGAATAGCGGGCGACTGGCTGCCGAGGAACATTTTCGGAAGATGCCACGCGCTCTGCGCCGTGCTACGCATGATATGGCTGACTCTGCATGTGCTGCTGCTTAGTGGAGAGGAGTTTGATGTTTTTGTTTGTGACCAGGTGTGTTGAGCGCTCGGATAGCCTGTTCCTGAACTTATCCCCCCCCACACACACACAACTAACATTGCATTCTGAAAATATCGGCTTTATAGAAAATCTTTGAATACGGACCAAATCACGATATAAGGCACACAATGACTTATATGCCTTTTTCTCCCCATAATTCTCTTTAATTAAGGTCACTAATTAAGCCAAGGGACAGGTATTCATTTTTTCGTTTCGATTCCCTGCTGTCCGGCCAGAATTAAGGTTCTAGGACAGTCAGGTATAACTTGGGCACACCTCACCTTATAAACAATTTTATGCTTACTGTTTTAAAACTATTCCACGTTAAGAGAAAGTCGCCTATTTAAGGAAATTGTGTGAATGTTTTGAATGTTTTTCCGCCTGCAATGTGAGACTGCTGTTCATTCCTGAAGAATCTAGAAAACACTGCATTATTATAATATAATATAAATATTATTTTAGAACATTATTCCATGTTTTGCACCTTCACATATTTAAGTATCTATTATAGCCTGCCATAGCCTTATAAAGGGATCTATCCATACTCTTTTTTTTTTTCAAAAGTTCTCTCACTCTGTCCTTTCCCTGATCATTCAAGTTGCCATTCTTTGGTCTTTTTTTTCCAATTTGATTCCTTGATATGGTGTTCAAAATCCTTTAAAAATTCTTTATAGTGCCAGTAAGATAGAGAGATAGAAATCTTACTAATGCAAAATAGTATTGCACTACTTACAATTTAGAAATCATTTTAAGAGGATCCTTTCAAGCTATTTAATGTCATTTAAATATTATCGTACCATAGTCCGTGGCCAGTGCAATTTTAATTTGCTGGTAAGTGATGATTAATATAATTCTATACATTACTGTATTGTATCAAATATGTCATCATGGCAGGGGTAAAATTGTTAAAAGTTAGAGTATTTTCTCGTGTGTTTATATATGTTTTTTTCTCTTTTTGGAAAGGTGTTCTAATTGGGCATCCAGGATGGGATACTTATCTTCAAAAGTAATTCAAATGCATCTCTGATTTTTGAAGTATTTTAGTAGGTCCTAAAAAAACCAATTGTTCAATCATGGAGTATAAAATAACCAAGAAGATGCTTTCTTTCCTTCATTTCATAAAGCATACTTTTTCAACTGAGGTGAAAGAGTGGTTCTCAAATATTGCCACATTCACCAAGCCAGAATATTTGGCCACTTGTATCTTTTGAAGAATTTTCTCCTAAATTGATATGTCAGCATTACACAATAAATGTTTGGAGGGAGGTGTCATTTAGATAAATGTGAAATGTCTCCGATAAACAAGGAGACTAGCTGAGATTTATATCTAATATAAAAATCAGATTTTCTCTGACCTCTGAAATTATCAAAAAAAATTATATTCTTTGAATTGCTTAATATTAGCTAACATTCTAGAGAAAAATAAATGAATTAATGATAACAGTTTTGAATTAAATATCCATGTAGAGGATGATCAAGATGGAAATCCTTTGAAAATTTAATATAAGAATGCCTTATTTAATACAAAAATTTAGTCAGTTTTTTAACACATTAACTTTCATCATAATATACTTTTTCCCACTTTTTTTTTCTTCTTCCCCTAGGTGTCTGCATGCATTCCAATATTACGTCTAGCTCGGACTCATAAGAAGGTTTTGTTTTACTGTCACTTTCCTGATCAACTTTTAACTAAGAGGAAATCATTGCTTAAACGCATCTACAGAGCTCCACTAGATTGGTTAGAAGAGTATACAACTGGCATGGCTGACTGTATTCTTGTCAATAGTTATTTCACAGCAAATATTTTCAAACACACCTTTAAATCCTTGTGTCACATAAATCCAGAGGTCCTTTATCCCTCTTTGAATGTCAATATTTTTGATACTGCTATTTCTGCAAATATTGCTAATATAGTTCCTAATGGGAACAAGAAATTCTTGTTCCTTTCCATCAATAGATATGAAAGAAAGAAAAATTTAGTTTTGGCTTTGGAAGCACTACATGATCTTCGTGGTAGACTTGATGCTCAAAGCTGGAGTGAAGTTCATCTGGTTTTAGCTGGTGGTTATGATGAGGCGGTTAATGAAAATGTGGAATATTTTGCTGAATTAAAAGCACTTGCTATCCAACTTCAGATTGATGAGCATATCACATTTCTGAGATCATTCTCTGATGAACAAAAGATAGCTCTTCTTAACAATTCCATATGTGTCCTGTATACACCAAGTAATGAACACTTTGGTATAGTTCCCTTAGAAGCTATGTACATGAAGTGCCCAGTTATTGCCGTAAATTCAGGAGGACCCATGGAATCAGTTGTAGATAATCAGACAGGTTTTCTGTGCAGTCCTCTTCCAACCCAGTTTTCAGAAGCCATGGAGAAATTTATAAAAGATTCTAATTTAAAGAGGACAATGGGAGTTGCTGGGAGAATCAGAGTTTTGGAAAAGTTTTCATCAGAAGCATTCACTGAAAAACTGTATCAATATATCCTTAGGTTAATATTGTGACAGAAAATGATACATAGCTATTGGTTAGAAATGCTTAGTTTTATATACATTCATTGACATATACTATTACTGTTGATTGGAAATCTTTATATATGACTGTCTTGATTATTTCTGTCTTTAAAATTGGGTCCTGGCACATAATGAAAATATTTGAAATTGCCCTGAAATATTGGATATTCATTTGAAACTGTTTTGAAAAATTAAACCTTTAGCCCTAACAAAATTATTGTTACTGTTATTATTCATACTTTTAGAGACTGCTCTTGAAACTGGTACGAAAAAGACTGTTCATGAATTTCAGACATATCACATTCATGGATTTCAGTGATGTCATGTTGAGTAATCAGTTGCTATTTATGATATATACATGTGTATACAACATTGTAGATCAGCGGTCGCCATGAGAAAATTTTGATGGGCCACAGAGAAATCTCACCCCCAGAGCACCCCCACAAAGCAATTAATCCAGGCTTCACAGAAACACAAGGCTGCGCCATCCACATGGCCCGCGGGAACCTCCCCGCCCACACATTGCTTATCCAGTAAACTTGCCTGCTAAATTGCTATTTTTCCTTTTTCTGACCATCATCTGTTCTGCTGTGCTGGGAGATTTAGATTAGCTAGGAAGCAGGAAATGGTTGGATTTCTTGCTTTCTAGCTAGTCTTTAGATCTTCGGCTCAGCACAGCCGAACCTCCCTTAGGACTGAAGGTTTGCTGCAAAAAAATTCAGTGCAGACTCACAGCAAGCAAATTTGAGAGACTGAGCTAGCTGGTGGCAGATAGATAGATCACTGAATGATTCTGTGAGCAACTCAATCTGTCTGCCTTGCCTGATTTTGGGTAAAAGTTGCTCTTTTTTATAAATCAATATTTACATACATGGTGTATTGTGAGTTAATTTTGTGAGTTTGCTTGCAAGCAAATTTTATGTGACAGACTGAGCTAGCCAATGGCAGATAGATAGATCTCTGAATGAATCTGTGATTCTGTGGGCAACTCAATCTGCCTACCTGCTTTGCCTGATTTTGAGTAAAAGTTGCTCTTTTTTATAAAAAAATTCAATATTTATATAAATATTTATAATATTTACATACAAGCCATGCCCATCCAGTCACATGATCACCAAGTCACACCCACAAATTAGGCCATGCCCACAGAACTGGATAGTGGTCTAAAATTATGAGTCTAAAATTATGGGATCTAAAATTATGAGTTTGGTGGTCCCTGAGGTCCAAAAGGTTGGCGACCCCTGTTGTAGATAATATGGCTTTTTTCCTACTTGATTCAAAATTTAAATGAAATATTTGAAATATTGAAGATAAGAAGCCAGAATATTATATAATTCATATCCCATTTTTGATCAAGAGATTTTTTTTTATTGAATTGTAAAAAATATCTGGTTAATACCATCAAAATTAATTTCACAGTAAAGGAAGCCTCATTTTAGCAATTATACTTTTTCCCTTGAAATTTCCAGTGTTCAATCTCTATAACTGCATATTGAAATTTTGCATCCATTTAATCATGTTAATACTATATCATCAGCATATGATTTCATTTATGCTCTTGTGAAGCTAATTTAACTTCCTATTCTGTATTCTTGGCATATTTGAATTGCCAAAAGTCTAATGTTAATAAAAGTAGAAAAGGGAAGAAAGGTCCTTTAATATTACTTCATATCTTCAGCATAAATGGTTGAGGCAAGTCCATCTGTTTTCTTGTTTCTTTACAACATAAAAATAACTTCTACAGTTAAAGAAGAAGATTGAGATAGACAGCAGATTTAAGACTTTTGGAGGAATTGTGGAATATTGTATCTGTCCGCCAGTTAAAATTTAGTATATATTGACCTCAAGACAACTGAGGGTATGATTCTTAATACATATGCACCTTAATAGGTATGGAAAATGTGCACACCAAGATAAAGAGGCCTGGAACTACAACCCAAGAGGTTCTGTATGCACCTGCTTTATTAGGATATCATTAATGTGCCATTTATGCATCCTATGATAATGTCATATAAAAATAAAAGTGTAATAATAATCACAAGTTGTTCTACAGAACAGAAGAATACCAGAGTTACAGCACTGCTGGAAGCATATTCTGATTAAAATGGAGGAAGAATCATGATTACTTAGGGATAAAAGTGTAAATGATTCCAGAAGCAGTGTAATTAGTGACTCCACTTGGGCTGAGATAGTTCCAGCAATCTCCCACAATGCCTTTCATGCACCCACTCCAGCTCTGAAATCCAACTACCCAGTATTAAGCAGAGGTCTGTAAGCAAGTTTCAATAACAAAGAGAAAAATGTGTGAGATTTGCCAAGAGGAGACGTGGCAAGAAATAAGCCCGCTGAAGAGTAGACTGCCACAACTATGTATTGGGCAGAGGCTCAGCCTGGCTGATTTATTGGCCATCTTCCCTGGGAGCAGAAGCTAAAACAATTTTTCAAGACTTGGTTCAAGTTTACATTGTTGGGTTGCACTAAGAACTCTGGATTCCACCTCATAATTGTTTCTTATCTTTTCCCTTTTGGCTATTTACTGGATTGCTGATGTCAATCTGTGCCAAGCGTGTATCTTGTTTTATAGTTGCCCTCTTAAGATACTGCTAAAAAGAATTGCTTTAAAAGTTCTGCCAGGATTAGCATAGCCCTGAACTACAGCAGACATCCAGCTTCCAATCTTGTTGGCTAGTAACTATCAGTGCCAGCATAAAATAGCTAGAGTGAAGGGCTCTATGCCCTGGCTCATTCCCACAGGGAACAGACAAAATTATTACATAATCTGCATATAACAGAGCTGGAATTGCACAAATTTGAGCTGGAAACACTACTGCTTTAGGATCTAGATAAAAAGAAGCAATATTTTATCCTTTTAATTTTTTCCCATGGGCTGTATTCAAATCAAATCATTTGAAAGCCTCAAGTTAATGTATCAAAAGGTTGCACTTACATGCCACAGTAATAGGGTTCTAAACATAATACAGGTAGCCTTGACTTAAACTGTCTGTTCAGAGTTACAACAGTGTTGAAAACTTTCACACGACCATTGCCACATCCCGATGGTCACATGATCAAAATTCAGATGTTTGGCAAGTGGTTCATATTTATGATGTCTGCAGTGTCCCAGGGTCATGTGATCAGCTTTTGCAATCTTCGGATCAGCAAAATCACTGGGGAATCGATTCACTTAATGTCCGTGTTACTACTTTAACAACTGCAATGATTCACAACTGCAGCAAGAAAGGTCGTGCAAAATAAACAGCAAAACTCAATAAATGTCTCATTTAGCACTAGAAATTTTGGGCTCGGTTTTGGTTGTAAGTGGAGAGCTACCTGTATTTGCCTAGCTTAGACCAGTGGTCATCAACCAGTGGCCATGGACCACTGGTGGTCTGTGAGAAAGTTTTGGTGATCTGCAGAGAAATGTCACCCACAAAGCACCCCCCCAAAAGCAATTAATCCAGGCTGCACAGGAACACAAGGCTGTGCTGCCCACATGACCCATGGGAATACAAGGCTTGTGTCGCTTGCATTGCAAACAACACTAGGTAGTGAGGGGAGGGGGGAAAGGGCAGAAGGGGGAAACTTGCCCTACTTGCCCCATGCCGCTCACCTGGCCACCGGGCTGTTTTCTACTTCTTTCTTCTTCTGCTTTTGGCTACACACAAGGAAAGCAACAGAAGTCTTTCTCTCCCCCAAACTCCACCAGAAATGAGTCTTTGGGACCCTGCAAGGCATCCTGCCCCAAGAGGCTGCGCTGGCACGACCAGTTTCATAAAAACTCATTTCTGGCAGTTTGGGAGAGAGAAAGAAAGACTTCTGCTACTTTCCTTGCATGAAGCCAAAAGTCTCTCTCTCCCTCCCTCCCTCTCTCTCTTTCTCTCTTCCAACCCCTCCCCTCCCTGAGAATGGAGCTGGAGACAGTATCCTGCGATCCCAAATAAAGAATGATCAATTGGTAGGAAAACGGGGTGGGGAATTTTCCTGCAGACTTTTTGGGGGATTTTCCCAGGGTCTCTAGTCTGCGGGATTTAAAATTGTGAGTTTGGTAGTCCCTGAGGTCCAAAAGGTTGGTGACCCCTGGCCTAGACAATGTTTAAAGGGGCAGGTGTTCCTGAATTGATGGGCTATTGAACCTCAGATTGCCTTAACTAATGCAATGATTAACAACTGTGGCCAGAAAAGTCATAAAATGGGGCAAACTCACTTAGCAACATAAATTTTGGGCTCAATTCAAGGGCTACCAGTACTTTATATGTCAAAATCAGTACTTTAAATTACCTTGAGAATTAACTTTTAGGGACACATTTATGGGATTTTGGGCAATCTGAATCTTCTGGCTAAATTGAAAGGTCAGTCACATTAGTACATGTATTACTCTATGTTATCTTATATAGAGTGACCATAGCCAGTAAAGTAACTTTAGATTGATATTTCTATGTTTGTCGATGATGACCTGAACACCTGCTGTCAGGTGAAGCTCCATTCAAAATCCAAGAAAGAAAACCTTAGACTCCATTGTTATAGAGAAAAGGACTTTTGCTGAAAATTGAAGTGGTAGCATCAGAAGAATACAAGATCTGAGGCAATAAGCGCAAAAATCACATATAGAAAGTTATCCCATGTTCCCACCCCCAATAGTTCAAACTGGCCCTCCAATCTGAGATGTGTATAATGTCATGGGCATCTTCAAGTGGTGTTTCACACATCTGGTATGCCAAGACAGTTGACCTTGGTGTAGACAGACAAGAGGCTACATCTGCACAGAAAGCAAGTAAGCATAGTCAATAAAACAACCCAACTCTTACATTTCACCAACTTAAACCTCCAGCACTCTTCCCCCCATGAAGTCCAATTATTCTTGGAGGCTTACACCTGCTCTTTCAAAGAATCCTATAAATATAAAAAACATTTAGCCAAGATTAATTTGAACTGTAAATCATTTCACATCCTTCAAGACTTTAGTCCATCACTTTTAGAAGGATCAGAATTTCCAAATCTTGTTTGCAAGCTCTTATATATTTGTTATAGCTATTTTGAATTGTTCATTTGTGTTTGTTTTTTACAAAAGAAATTAGATTTAAAATCTAAAATTCTTCAATATTAGCATATCAAGTCTTTTAGCAGATAAAGCATCAGGTCCATATTGAGCTGTCAAAGCACATTGCCATTTAAATATGCTGCCATCTAAGATATCCCACAAGAATTCCATACTAATGGAATCAAGCTGAAATATTTCTTTCTATTCAACTGTATATTAATTCCATAATACAGGCTTTCTCAAAATCTGAATATCAGCCCCATTATTACTTATTCCTATCCTCCATTAAAATAACAATGCCATCATTTTTTCCTTGATTCAGGTTGGCTTTTGGCAGAGTCTCCAGATTCTAGTAACTTTCTGCCATCACCAAAAAGCAGGCATTAATTAGTTTAAGGTGAACCTGGCCTTATTTACTAAGATATGTACAACTCACACCAATCAATGAGAATCAAGTTGAACAGATTAAAGTTTTCAAATAGTGGAGAATCCATATTCAATTTTTCACCACTTGGAAACGAGTTTGAGAAATTACAATGCATGACCCAAAAGTCTCCAATGCTATAATCAGATTTGCTAAATTATGTCAATAATAATGTTGTCCCTGTAGCAATTATCTTTATTTAGTGGCTAGGAACTTAGTTTTTTGCTATGTGGCATAGAACTATGCAGTTATAAAGAGATGATGGCCTCACTGCAAACCATTCAAAGTTTAAAGGAACCATGTTTCATATTCCTCATTCTGTAATGCAAAATGAAAATTTGTCGTTCAAAGTAGTGGCTACATCAAATGTTCTGGATTGAGTCAATTATCTATTCTTGCTAGTAAGTTTATTTGCTCTTAGAAGAAAAAGGTGTAGCCCCTTGTCTGAAATGATATAGCATTTCCTGTTCAAGCAGAGGGTTGGATTAGAAGACCTCCAAGGCCCCTTCCAACTCATATTATTCTATGTTTTAATTTAGCGTCTAGCTTCTTGGAAGGTCTTGAAGATGTTAAGAACTTGGAACAAAGCCAGGCCTTGTCTCCTATTGTTATGGACAGTCCCTTCCACTGATGGGCATCCACTACATTCTTGTAAGACTGTTTGGTTTGATGAGTTGCTGCTTTAAAAAAATATTGGGCAGCATTTTGCTTCTGTAAGAAGTCAACTGCCCTTGGACAGTTAACTCCAGTGCAGGATGGTCTGGCAACACTTTGGGGCATATGCCGTACACGGCTTAAAATAAGTGCAGTGAATTGTTCTAAGAAAATTTTGCAAGGGGCAATAACAATGGCTACTTGTCTTGGTAGTAGGTACAATAACAACTCATTCATTTTTATTTATTTTTTAACCTCAAAATAAGCAAAATACAAAAGAAAGAAAAAGGAAACAAAGTAACAAACATCTGATACCAACAGCAAAAACAAAAACAAAAAAATGTGAATACATCATTGACAATATTAGTAAATATAAATGTCTGACAAATACATCAAGAAATCTAATGTATTCTCTTTACCTTACATAAAAACATCTGCAAATATTCGTAAAATTCCCATCTATACAGGTAGTTCTCAACTTATAACAGTTCATTTAGAAACTATTTAAAGTTACAACGGCATTGAAAAAGTGACTTATAACTGTTTTTCATATACTGCAACTTCCCCATGGTCACATGATCAAACTTCAGACGCTTGGCAACTGACTCATATTTATGATAGATGTCATGTCCTTTAATTAACTAATTTGTTATGGAACATTATTTTTAATATACTATAAGATCACTATGTTTTATATTTTAAAATGCTATGTAGAATGTACTAAGCAGAATCAGAATAGAAACTATGTATTATTTTAAGTGTTAAATTTGGGGGGAAAATAGAAAGGTGTCATACTTCAACCAGTGATTACAGGAAAAAGTTTGTGTTAAAGAGAAAGATAAATGGATAATTGAAAAAAGAACGGACAAAAGATACAAGTATAATGATTTAAATTGAGATTAAATAAATAAAATAGAATTAGGAGAGAGAAAAGAAGGGAGAAGACATGTGGAAAACATAGAACGTTAAATAAGATATGAAATAGTATATAAGGTGAGCATGAATTTGATTTATGTCTGTACAAAAAGTTATAACCCGGGGTTAAGCCGCTTTCTAAAAAGAAGTTTTATGTTTTTATGTTATGTATTTTGTTAGCTTATGTTTGTTTATCGAGGATTAATGATGTTGGATAAGAACATATGAAATAGTAATAATATGAAATATAGTAATATGAAATACATGAAAGTATAAGTTTAATGAATAAAATTGAACAGAAATAAAGGAAGAAACAGTGAGAAGTTGGAAGAGAGTAATAAGATATGAAGTTGAATATATAAGATGCATATTAAATTGTGTGTGGAAACGTGATGATTTAGAACTATGTTGTACTTAAATGAGATGTCTTATTTGTTTTGTTAAGCAGTTTTTAGAAAAGATGTTCTATGTTCTTATGTTTTATGTTTTGTTTGTCTGTGTATTCTCTTTGAAAATTAATAAAATTTGTTACAAAAAAAAATACTATATCATACTGTCTCTGATGTGCAAACTTTTTTGTCTAGAAATCAAATCAATTCAACATCTGCATGCTATATAAATGTAAAAAAAAAAGTCAACAAGTAACCCCAAAAGTAAAACTAATCTTCAAATCCCTCTGCTAATGGTCTGTGAGCAATAGCTGGATGTTTTGAGAAGCAATTAACATTCCATTCCCAGGTCTTGGGCATCCAAAAGTCCTTTAAATGGGCTGGATGAAATTGGTTTCACACCTCTGCTTCCTGTCAACACTGGTCTCCCCCCCCACCCCCACTTTTCCTGTTACAACAGGCCCCCTTTTCCCCATCCTCCCAATCCCCCTCTGTCTCAGCCACAGCAATGGGGATGACAGCCTGACCGGGATGATGGAGAAAGCTCAGTTCTTCACTCCCAAAACAAGATCTGGAGACATTAAAGTTTTGTCTCCCTTGGAGGAAGGTGTAAAACATGACAGCTCATGAGATCCAGGTGGACAAAGCTTCTCTTTTATTAGGGTTGAGGTAGAGACCCATCCAGATCTTCAAAGCCTCAAGTCTGACAAGAAGAGGAGGAAAGGAGGAAGAGGGCAATGGGGAAATGATACTCAGGGACAGCAGATGAACCACCACAATGCTCCAGGGTGGGCTCCAGGAAGCGTTGCAGATTTTTCTCCCTTTGAAATTGTGGTACTGGGATTGGACAAAACAGTGCCTGACTCTGCACTTGACTACTGGCACTTTGGGCAGGCAAAGGGCTGGTGGGGCTGAGTTGTTCCCATGTTGGACAGGATGACTTGTTCCATATTGACCTGTCTATGCCCACCTGGCCATACCCAATTGTTGTGCCCATCTGATTATGCCAAGTCATCCATGCCAAGTCATCTGTGCTGTCCCAGCCACATCCACTTGGCCACACCCTCTCAGTATGTCAACCCGGCTACACCTATCCATCCACACTGACCTGGCCAAAGTGGGTCATACCATTTCACTAGGCAGGTGGTGCAGACTTTTGATGTTATTGTTAAGGCATTTGTTAAGTCAGATTCTTGCTAAAGTATCGGGTGAACATTGGCCACTAAATTCCTTATCTCATTTTCCATGCCATCTTGGAATCAGCTGAGAGTGCATATGTCTATTGTTGCTGCACCTCTGGAATCTGAAGTCATGGTTTAGGTATTTCAGCTATGCTGGACTTAAAACTTACTAATGGAGATAGCAATATCAACAGTACTTAGATTTATATACCACTCTACAGTGCTTACAGCACTATCTGAGCAATTTACAATGTCAGCATATAACCCCCAACAATCTAGGTTCTCATTTTACTGACCTCGGAAGGATAGAAGTCTGAATCAACCTGAATCAATCAAGCGAACTCCTGACAGTGGGCAGAGTTAACCTGTAATGCTGCATTCTAACCATTGCAAAATGATAGAGGGGAGCTGAAGTTATGGGAGCTTTGGGGGAGATTGACCATGCTATATAATTCACCATAATCCAGGTGCAAGCAACAAGAGTTGGAAGGGATGATGGAGGCCTTCTAGCACAACTCCTTACTCAAGCAGGAGACCTTATACCATTCCAGACAAATGGCTTAACGGTCTCTTCTTAAAGCCACCAGTGATAGAGAGCTCACAACTTCTGAAGTAAGCCTTTCCACTGATTAATTGTTCTCATTGTTAAGGAAATTTCTTAGCTCTAGGTTGCTTCTCTCCTTGATTAGTTTCCATCTTCACTCCACTTTAACTTGGGTGGCCCTGCATGGCTTAGCTCACAGCTCTTTGTGCTGTGCAAGCCCATAACAGGACAGTGATCCATGAAGAGGATCCACTCTGTCTATCTATCTATCTATCTATCTATCTATCTATCTATCTATCTATCTATCTATCTATCTATCTATCTATCTATCCGTCTATCATCTCCACTCTAGAAGAGTTCAAATCACCTGGACCAGATGGATTATATCCCAGAGTTGGCAGAAGTGATATCAAAACCATTGAGCAAATTTTCTTTTCTTTTTTTTTTAATTTAAAACAAATTTTATTAAAGATTAAAACAAAAAAAGTTTCTACGTTACATAATATACAACCTTTTGTTGCAAACGAAATCAATATGAAAAACATAACAAATAAACATAAAACATATATATTTCTACTCAACTTGGTGTGTTCTTTTCTCAAAAACAATTTTACTAGTATTCATTTCCTATTTCCTAAATACTCTTGATCTAACCACTTTATTTTTCAATTCCTTATCTTTTTTTTCCCCTGGTTTTTATCCTTAATCCAATTGTACCATTTTTCCCAAACTGTACTATATTTTGAGTCTATCTCATCCCTTAGTTTTTGAGTAAGTACGTCCATTTCAGCACAATCAAGAACCTTCTGGATTTTCAAATTGTTTGTTGGCATTTGGTCACTCTTCCAGCATTGTGCCAACGCAATTCTTGCTGTCGTAATTATATGAAGAATTAAATATTTCATTTCTTTTGCATGATCACCTTTTATCATTCCCAATAAAAATATTTCGGCCTTAAATTCTAGTTGAATATTTGTAATTTCTTTTATCCAAATTCTATTTTTTTTCCAGTATTTTTTACTTTGAGCAATTTTTCAAAGATCCTGGAGCACCAGGGAATGATCAGAGAACTGGAAAAGAAGTGATATGGTTCCTATCTGAAAGAAAGAAAGAAAGAAAGAAAGAAAGAAAGAAAGAAAGAAAGAAAGAAAGAAGGAAGGAAGGAAGGAAGGAAGGAAGGAAGGAAGGAAGGAAGGAAGGAAGGAAGGAAAGAAAGAAAGAAAGAAAGAAAGAAAGAAAGAAAGAAAGAAAGAAAGAAAGAAAGAAAGAAAGAAAGAAAGAAAGAAAGAAAGAGAGGGAGGGAGGGAGGGAGGGAGGGAGGCACCACCACTTAAATATGAGACACCAGTGTGCTGTAGTTACCAAAAAATCAAATGCAGTCCTAGCTTGCATCAATAAAGGGACAGTATCAAGATCATCTGAAGTGTTAGTACCTCTTTATACTGCACTGGCAAGACCGCATGTGGAATACTTTATCCAGTTTTGATCACCACAATACAAAAAAGATGTTGAAATTCTAGAAAGAGTGCAAAGAAGGTCAATATAGATGAGTAGGGGGCTGGAGGATAAAGCAGTTGCATGAACTGGGTATGTCTAGTCTAATGAAGAGATCTGATAGTCTTCCAATATTTGAGGGGCTGCCAGAGAGGAGAGGATCGACCTATTCTCCAAATCGCATGAGGGCAAGGACAAGAAGTAATGGATGGAAACTTATCAAAGAGAGATCCAAACTAGAACTAAGGAGAAATTTATTGGCAATGGGAACAATTAATCAATGAAATGGCTTATCTCCAAAAGTTGTGAGTGCTCCGTCACTGGAGTATTTAAAGAAGAGATTGGATACCCATTTGCCAATAATAGTATAGGATCTCCTACTTGAGCAGGGGTTTGGACAAAAAGACCTCCAAAGTCCCTTACAGCTCTGTTATATTGTTCCTGCTACATCTTTTTGCAAAACAAGGAAACCATTAAGAAGCTTCTGAATGTACATTTTTTGTTTCCAATAAAAATCAGTTTTAAGATAAATCAAAGTAATCAGTTCACTCTAGATGACTTATGATGATGATGATGATGATGATGATTACTCAGATTTTTTTTTCTGAGAAGGAATAACATTTTTTTAAATGTATCAAAGCATTAAATTCCTGACATCTGTAAAGTAGAAGAGCAAGGCTCTTCTGTTATATTCTTACATTTATTATCCCTGAGCTGACAAAAGGAAAGATGCCTTGGAAGATGATCTGATTAGTATCGGCAGAAAGTGTTAGTGCTTAAGTGCTGGCAAATGTCCAGTAACCATCACTGAATAGTCATTACCTCATCTTTCAACCTCATCCAATGACCTGCAAAACATCCCAATATTCATTGCACATCTGTGCTAGACAGATTATGTATTAGCAATTCAAATCAACTGAAAGCATAGGCAGTTTTTGCAAAAGGTGTCTGTTTGGAAAGAACTGCCCTGTTGTCTAGTCTGGATAATAAGGTGACTCTTTGTAATCTTGGAGAACAATCAATCTATCTTGAGGAGGTGACTGACCACATCCAATCTTAGCCTGACAGCACTAGAACAAAGGCCCCATAATGCATTTGACTCATCTGGTAATAAAATCTACTTTTGATTAGCAGCCCTGGCTTGTGTCAATCACTGTATGATGCACCATTGTTCTTCCATCCTAAACATAGTTTATTTACATGGAAACAAAGCCCTTTTTGGATATGGCTGGAACTCAAAGATAGCAAAATAGATTGTGCTGTCAACCCCACACACTAGACAAAGATTAATGAGTTGTGCAGACAATAAATATGAAGCAATGACCATAAATATGCTAATAGGAATTATCCTTATACACTATAATTGGTACAAAAATTAAAATGTAGTGTAAAGAATATGGGTCATCAGGTGACAGATAATCTTGAATGTGGAAGAGTTGTGCCTCCATTACATTCTTTACAGGTTTATCTTCTCCAATTAAAATTTTCAAATAACTAATTGTTTAAAAGCAGTTTGAATAATCTATTTTTTAAACAGAGCTTTGTTGGAGGTTGACTATTTATTAAAGATTGATTTCAGTAGAAATATTATTAGAGTTGCTTTTTCAAGTTCATGAAAAGTTAGGTGACAAGGCAACTAATATTTGGGCTGAGTTGTCAGATCTCATCAAGGAATTAAAATCTAGATCAACTAGAATTTTTAAAAGACCAAATACACACATGTAGGTAGTAGATGCTTTAAAAGGATATCCAAAATGAAAATCTATAACTTTATTATTAAATTTGAGATATAAAGAAATAGTGACCTTTTTAACCATATAAATACCCTGTGGGTGAGTTTGTTTGTTTGTTTTTTAAGGAGTAGGCTAAAAATTAGATGAGTCAAGTGCATTATATGGCCATTGTTCTAGACCTTTCAGGCTAAGATCAGTCACCTCCTCAAAATAGAATATTTGTTCTCCAAAATTTTCCTTCAGATCTTTTTATAATTTCTTGCCAGAAGAAGTTTAACTAAGAAACTGAAATCTGAAACTGCTCTTACAACTGCTCTCTTACTTATTCCAAAATTATTTCAAGTATTAAAAGTTCAGTACTAGGCTAAAAAAGTTTGATTCAAGTGCAATTGAATTTGTACATCAAGATGAATGATGGGTGAGTAATCAATACATGTTTTTGTTCATACTGGTAAGCTACAAAGTGATTATTTCCAAACACTGGGATCTAGTCTTATAGTTTATATTTATTTTTTTACAGTAATCAGAAATTGCCAGACAATTAGTCATCCATCTGTTCATCACCATAAGATCAATGCTAAGCATCTTGTTGTTAAGCTTTCGGACTGGGTAGACTCAGATAACATAATGATCAAGAAACAAACTGGATCTAGAGCAGGTCACTCCATCTTTTGCTATGCTTTAATTCTACAACACCACATCTCCAAATCATAGGCTTTGATTATTTTAGTTTTTGACCTAATTCCTAGGCCCAGCTTGGGTTGCAAATTTTAATAACTTCTTTACGATAAAACCATCATAAGTTAGACATAGCTGCCAAGGACATTAAATTAACAAGATCCCTGTTAATAGAGAAGTCAAAGAAGGCTACAGTATATTTTTTGCTGTATTGTTATTTAACAAGCTATAGAGATAGCATTTAGACTTATATACTGCTAAACTTAACTACTACATTAGACACATTAGTTTCTGTGATGAATTACTTTACCCATCACCCAGTGACACTAGCAATGAAACATATCTCAGTCCTATTATATATGGACAAATATGCTGACTCTGTAAACCACTTAGAGAGGGCTGTGAAACACTATAAAGCAGTATACAAGTCTAAGTGTTATTGCTATTGCTATGGAAGACATAGCAATAGCAATAACACTTGTTATTTTCTTAGACTCAGCCAGCCACTGTGTTTCTGAACTTTGCCAGCCATAGAGTTTCTGAAGCTCTAGAAATTAATTATAATAAAACCAAGATGATGATCCTTGTGAAACTACCCAGAAGATAATTTTGGACTTATTATCCTATTGTATAGATTAAATCATTTAAAGAAGTAAGCATAATCTTTCATGCCATGATCTCTTGCAAAATGCCCAGATAAAATGCTGTCGAAAACACCGGAGAGCTACATTATTTTTTCCAGTAAAGGAACCTTATTTATTCTAGCTGCATTCTGAGTGCACTCTGCTAAAGTTAGAGCATAGCTGTTTTTTGGTGCCTAGTTATAACTCTTTTGCTCCCTTAGAAAGAATTGAGACCAAATTTCACAGGAACATGATTGACTTTTGTCTCAATATGTGTCCACACAAAAATCATCACAACCACGGAATCCCCAATTATAACTTCAAAAAAGGCAACTATGATTTTATAAACAACGATCTCTCATCCCTTGATTGGCAATTTCTATTCTCTGGATGCAATAGTGTAGAAGACCATTACAACATATTTTTACTTGAAGACAAAAGAGTCATCAAACTATATGTACCATTAACAACTCCCAAAACCAGAAAAAATAAATTACCCATAACAATAAGGAAGCTTCAATCCAAAAAGAAATCACTTTGGCGGAAAAACAAATCTGGTCACATTGCCAACTTCAAAAGCCGATGCAAAAATTTATGCCACCAGATAAAAACTAAATGCACCAATTATCACATTAAACAAGAAGAAAACCTTCTATGCACCAATTCCACCTGCGCTTTCTACAGTTTTATAAACAACAAACTAAAAGACTCAAGGTCCATCCCACCCATGAAAGGACCTAATGGTAAAGACTGCAATGACGGCACTATTAAAGTCAACCTCTTTAACACATTCTTTGGCTCAGTATTTGTAAACAGCAATGGATCATGCCCAGTATTTCCTAGTTGAACCACAGACAACTACAATGATCTAAACATATCGATTTTACAGAAGACAATGTTGAAATAGAACTACGCAATCTAAAACCATCTCAATCTATTGGACTGGATGGAATATGTGCCTACTTCTTAAAAAAGCTATCCACTGCCATAGCTGAACCTCTAAGCATAATCTTTGAAAAATCTTTCAGGACCAGCTCCTTGCCAAAACTATGGTCACAAGCCACTGTCATCCCCATTTTCAAGAAGGGAGACACCAGCCTAGTTGAAAATTAGAGACCAATCTCTTAATGCTGCATCACCTGTAAAGTCATGGAATCAATTATTAACCAATCCATCATCCTCCACTTAGAAACAAACAACCTACTCTCTAATAAACAATTTAGTTTCAGGAAAAAACTATCCTGTAATCTGCAACTCTTACACTGCAAAAACATATGGACTACACAACTCAATCAGGGCAAAACAATAGATACAATCTACATAGACTTCTGTAAAGCCTTTGATTCAGTGGTACATGACAAACTACTCCTAAAACTAAAATCTTACGGTATCTCTGGACATCTGCATAACTGGATAGAAGCATTCCTGTCAAACAGACAACAAATGATCAAAATTGGGAGCGTCCTATTAAATTCTGTACCTGTCAACAGTGAGGTCCCCCAAGGCAGTGTTCTAGGACCATTCTTCATACTCTACATAAATGACCTCTGTGATCATATCAAGAGCAACTGCTTTCTCTTTGCTGACGATGTAAAGCTATTCAACAGCACAGACAATACTGCTACCCTTGACTATGTATCAGAATGGTCAAACAAATGGCAAGTTCAAATCTCAACAAATAAATGCTCTGTCCTACATATTGGCAAAAAGTCAGAAAATAAAATACAGGCTGAATAGTCAAGACCTTGTTGAGGCTCCAAACTCTATCAAGGATCTTGGAGTACTTATCTCCAATGACCTAAGTGCTAGAGCTCACTGTAACTACAAAAGACGTTAAGAGTTGTTAACCTAATCTTACGTAGCTTTTTCTCTGGAAATATTACACTACTAACTAGAGCATACAAAACATTTGCTACACCAATACTCAAATACAGCTCATCAGTCTGGAACCCACATTACGTATCTGATATTAACATAGTTGAGAAAGTCCAGAAATATTTCACAAGAAGAGTTCTCCACTCCTCTACTCGTTGTAGAATACCTTATGCCACCAGACTCGAAATTCTAGACCTAGAAAACCTAGAACTACACCATCTTCGGTCTGATCTAAGTAGAGTATATAAAATCATGCATTGCAATGTCCTACCTGTCAATGAATACTTCAGCTTCAACCATAACAACACAAACAATAGATACAAACTCAAGGTTAACCACACCAAACTTGATTGCAGGAAATACGACTTCAGCAACAGAATGGCCAATGTCTGGAATACTCTACCTGACTCTGTGGTTTCTTCTCCAAACCCCCAAAACTTTAACCTTAGACTGTCTACTATAGACCTCACCCCTTTCTTAAGTGGTCTGTAGGGGGCATGCATAAGCGTACCAACGTGCCTACCGTCCCTGTCCTATTGTTTCTTTTATTTTTATTTTTATTATATGTATCCATGTATTCATAACTATGTTTTTACTTATACCTATTATTTTGTAAGCAATTGACAAAAATAAATAAATAAATAAACAAACAAACAAACATATTTCAACTCTCTGCTGTGTCTCTTTGCCTCTGTTCCTTGTCATGAGGCTGGGAACAGTATAATTAAAACCAGTCTCTGGTTTTACAACTTCATATTTAACTAAACTATACTTGAGGTCTGATTCTCAATGACAATTTTGTTATCCTAGCCTAAAGCAAAAGGTTAAAAAATGAGTTTTTATGATTAACCAACTCTCCACACATTTCTTTAGCCCAGCTCTGCACATTTGGATACAAGAATACTGAGTTTTATTCTGGTCTGTTTCTGACTAGATATTTGACTTGATAGCAGAATACAATACCTAAAGCAATTAATGAATTTAGAGAACGACAATGTAAGCCATTCAGTTCCCTTGATGCCTTTTTCGGTTAAAAACATCAGGTGGCTTCTGAATGAGGTGTTGTGACCAGTTTGACATGGTATAGTGGTATAGAATATTTATGGATGTTTGATTGGCAAAATCCTCATCTTCTCAAACACTTTAAATTAATTTAAATTGTAAATTTAATTTACAGCCTAACAGAGATATTTAAAACAGAACTGAAGATCAAATATTTCTTCTTTTTGAAATTATGAAGAGGAACCTCTTCCCCTGCCCCTCACACCAGTATTTTAAAGGATTTCAATTTAAAACAAAACTTTAACAAAATTGTGATCTAAGAAAATATTAAATGGACAAAAGGGGGCAGTGATTTTTAAAAATACAGGAAATATTTTTTTTCAAATAAAATGCCTTGGAAATAGTAAAGATATTAGACTAACAGACTGGACATTCATAGGAGTATTGATTGTAGTAATTGGTAAATCTTATAAAACAAAAAGGTGTAGATTGGACAAGACATGTTACAAAAAAAGAACTAGTGGAGATACAAAAAAAAAGTAAAAGGGATTTTCATGAATAATCTTAATAAAGGCCTAGAAGTACACAATAAGAACTTAGGAAACCATAACTAT